CGGCCAAGACTAAAGCTGGGCGAGCTCTTTAGGGCCCCTAAGCACTAATCACGGAGCCAAGAAAGGAACTTACTTCCACCTACTCTCTGAAAGTTCTGAAACACATTTATTTAAAAGTTTTGATGCCGCTATTCTTCCACAGGAATTAAAATTATTTAATATGTCAAAACAGTGTAAAATAAGAATGTGAAAACGAGTCAATTTAAATATATGACTAATAAATGTGGGAATTACAGTAAAAGTCATATACATGTTTTAAACTTAACAATGTGTAAATAATATAGTTCACAAAAATGGGTTCGTGCAGGAAGTTTAAGGGTGCTAATTTGCTCACATTTCTTAGCAGGGAGCCCAAGGATACCGAAATGCAAACATGTAACTCCAAACTTTGAATACTGCCTGGAGGAACAATCTAACAGTGCCTTCGGTTTTATATTTTTATTAAATTTAAGTAAGGTAGCCTTGGCCATTGTGGTTCAGTTGCTTGGAATGTGGTTCCATACACCAGAGAGCAGTGGGTTGATTCCCAGACAGGGCATAAGCCAGGGCTGTGGGTTCCATCACCAACTGGGGCACCTGCAGGAGGCAACTGATGGATGTTTCTGTCTCACGCAGATGTTTCTCTCTCTCTCTCTCTCTCCTTCTTTCTAAGCATGTAAGGATTTAAAAAAATAGAGGGGGATAAGGGAGGGAAAATGGGGGACATCTGTAGTATTCAACAACAAAAGAATACAACAGTAAAGATTACCTTCACATAGAAAGATGTCTGCATGTATTGTTAAGGAAAAAGAAAAAATTGCAGAACATTTTTAAAAATAAATCAATCAATCAATCAATCCCTGGCTGGTGTGGCTCAGTTGGTNCAATCAATCAATCAATCAATCAATCCCTGGCTGGTGTGGCTCAGTTGGTTGGGTGTTGTCCCCTGCACCAAAAGGTTGCTGGTTCCATTCCTTGTCAGGGCACATGCTTGGGTTGCAGGCTCAATCCCCAGTTGGAGGCATGCAGGAGGCAGCTGATCTATGTTATGCTCTCACATCAGTGTTTCTCTCTCTCTGTGTTTTTATTGATTTCAGAGAGAGGAAGGGAGAGGGAGAGAAACATCAATGATAAGAGCATGGCGTTGATCGGCTGCCTCCTGCACACCCCCAACTGGTGATGGAGCCCGCAACCCGGCACATGCCCTGACTGGGAATCAAACTGCCATCTCCTGGATAGGTCAATGCTCAACTGATGAGCTACGCTGGAGGGCAAATCACCTCTTATTTAAATGACCTATTTTGGGAGAGCCACTTTTCCCTTCAGGAAAGGAGAAAATGTCAGCCTACATGGTATGACGGGGTAAAAGGTTCAGTATTAAGGTTGAGATCAAGCCCTTGGCAGCTGGGAAGACTTGAGAGGACACTGGTGCTTCCCAGTAGGGCCCCCATCAAAGGATATGTAAGCATAAACGATGCCAGCTTCCTGCACACATCACCCCTCCAACCCAGCAGTTATCCCTCCCTCCTTCCCACCCCTTTGCACTGTCTCATCCCTCCCGTCCCTCTGGGACCATGGGCCTCCAGTTACCTCTTCTCCCTGCAGCTCATCCTCTCTTCTGTTTCCTTTGGGCCCATAAACATGCCAAAGTTCCTCCTGGCCTAAACACGCCATGGGCCTCATCCACTGGCCTTTGTGTCTGTCTAATACTACCATTCCTCCTTCCTTTCGTAAGCGAGCTTCTTGAAAAAATAACCTACGCTTTCTTTCCTCACTTCCTATTCACTCTTTAACCCACTCAAATCAAGATTCTCCTTGACCCCTCCGCTTGCACAACCACTGAAGCTTGTCATAAAGTTCACCACCACCTCCTAAATCATCAGGTCCAATAGATATAACCTTGCTGGCCATTCCTTTTCTGCCTTTTTCATGGCTCTATCTCCTCTGCTCATCATTTAAACATTGGTCCTCAGGGCTCTGTCTTTGACCCACTCTTGACTTTAAAAATACAAGTTTTCAGAATAGTTTCACTCCTGAGGTTGTAATTCCCACCTGCATCCAGCCCTGGCCTCTTCTGTGAGCTTCACAGCTGTGTCCAACTGTCTTACCACCAGATGATCTATAAACACCCAAATGAGTTATCCCCATGCATTCTCTATTTCAACTGCTGACACCATTGCCCTCCAAACCAGAAAGGTAAGACTCCTTCATCTCTACCTAATCCTGCATTCACTAGGCCCTGTTCATTTCTTTTCCTCATAAATCTCCCCTCACCTCCAGAATAAAGCCCAGTTCTATTAACATGCCTCATAAGCTCCCTGGCTACCTTCTAGCTTCCTGACTCCATTCCCACAACACAATTCTCTTGTACTTAGTTGTTTGTGGCTCACACCAGACTGTCCTTTCTGCCTGGAGTATCCTTTGCTTGTGCACTGACTTACCCCGCAAGACTCAACTGCGCTGTCACCTTTCACCATGCTTTTCTCAAACCATGTCGTGCTGCCGTTTGAGCTTCCGTGGCAGCACTCTGCACACACCCTTTAAACCTAAAACACAGTATTTAATGTATTGTTTTGCACACAATCTCCCTCCTTAGACTGTATTCTGAACAGCAGCAGCCTCGTGGCAATCATCATAGCGACTGTGTCACACACATGCTCAGTGTTTGTTCAACATTACTGAGCTGGGATTATTACTTAGCTCGACTCAGTGTTTTTTTTTAAATATATCTTTATTGATCTCAGAGAGAGGAAAGGAGAGGGAGATAGAAACATCAATGAAGAGAGAGTCATTGATGGGCTGCCTCCTGCTCGCCTCTGACTGGGGATCAAGCCCGCAACCCGGGCATGTGCCCTGACTAGGAGTCGAACCCTGATAGTCTGGATCCCAGGTCGACACTCAACCACTGAGCCACACCCGGCCGGGCTCTACTCAGTTTTCTTAACTCTTAACATCATGTATGTTTCTCAGGGTTTTCGTCAATGAAATCTTTGTGAAAAGCCTTCTATTTTCTATTATGTGCTAGCAAATGAACTATCTCTCGTGTGAAGTTGGGATCTCACTTGTGGGAATAGAATTAGTATAGGAGAGAAAGTTAAACCTTTTATACAATTATATCAATGGGTAATAAAGAAGTTAGCAAAAACTAGTAAACACCTTAAAAAGGTACCTTTAAAAAAGAAGAGAGCAAATAGTTACCTTACATGGATCATGAATATATACTCTCAATAAGAATGTTGGGCAAATAAATACTTGTAGCATCTGACAAAACTTCCAATGACACTATCAGATTGGGACTTTAAGAACCTGCCTGTCTCTCAAATCACTCAGGTAAAGGTGAAGACAGTGTGCTCAGTGCAGCTGTGCTGTTGGCTCGGTGACTCCAGCAACAACGTAGGCACTCTCGTCACGATGTGTGCGCCAATGAAGAGGAACAGCTATTTCTAAATTAACATATTTCAACAGGTCTTGAATTACTTCTCTTTGTTTTTGTTTTGTTAATCCTCTCCCAAGGAAACTGTTTCCACTGCTTTCAGAGAGTGGTATGGAGGGAGGGGGAGGGGAGAGAGAGAGAGAAACATCAATGTGAGAGAGACACAGTGACTGGCTGCCTCCACACACACCCCAACCAGGGTTGGGGAGTGAACCTGCAACCCAGGTATGTGCCCTTGACTGGAAATCAAACCCGAGACCCTTTGGTGCGTAGGCTGACTCTCTAACCACTGAACTACACCGGCCAGGGCATTATATTACTTTTAGTAGGTACATGGAAATAAAGCCAAATGGCCTAAGAATATATTGCATGTTAGTATAGTAAGTTAACTGCAATTTACTATTACTACTGAAACATCATAGACTATTCTAGTTGTAAAATAATTTGTTTTGAAAATGACCTTAATGGGATGGGGGGAAAAATAATATGCCAAGCCCGGTCAGTGTGGCTCAGTCGTTGAGCATCAACTCATGCACCAAGAGGTCACTGGTTCGATTCCTGGTCAGGGCACATGCCTGGATTGTGGGCTCAATCCCCAGTAGGGGGCTTGCAGGAGGCAGCTGATCGATGTTTCTACCTCTCTCTCTAAAGTCAATAAAACATATTTAAAATAGTAATAATATGCCAAGCAGAATGTATAAAAATATTTATTTTTTATTTCGAGAGTATGTTTATTAAAACTGGGGACAGTGAAACAAGGAAGGGCTTAGGATAGAAGAAGCAACAGGAGAGCCTAGGTGGGGCTACTTTGCCTCATTGAAAAGTCAGGGCCTTGGAGACAGGTTCAGGGGTTAGAGCAGGAGGGGCCACTGCTCCCCTGGTTCCCCTGGTTGCAAGTTTCGTGGGGACCCTTTGACTTTAGGGAGAAAAAGCACGCCTGAGAAAGAAAAGGGGAAGAAAGGTGTGGGCATGCTCCCAGGAAGAAGAGCACGCAAAATAAATATTTATAAACATTTGAACCTTTACGTACACTTTTAAAAGCAAATGCACAAGTGAGAGGAATTACAAAAATTAACCTCAAGTCCTTTTCCCCACTGTATAAATGAACATTAAAAATCAGTAGGGCTCCCACCATCAGAATACAAAGTCTGTCTGAATGAATACAAGTAATTACTTTAAATATCATTCAGATACTTTCCTTACAGTTACAACTCCAAAAAGTACTAGGATGCCAAATATATCCAGTACACTGTGTTTTCACCTTACCCTAACTTATTAAATATACAAATACGTTTCCATCTTTTTGTCCAGCCAGCAAATGAGAATCTGTACCCGACCATTTAACAAAAGACCAGTTCTTGTCAGAGACGGGTGGAAGGAGAGCAGTGCAATGACCTAGAAGTAAGTCCCAAATGGCAATCGTTCCAGAAGTCAATACTGCTGCTGCAAAATTATCCTTCACATCACCTTCCAGGAACCTAACATTAAGCAGAGAAGAGATGATTCAAACCACGTATCCAAAAAAAAAAATCTTTAAAAAGAGGCCAAAACGATGCTCCCAAAAGCAACAGGAATGCTTCTCTTTGCAACCCTGGGGCTGCTGGCTACTGTGTTGTAATGCGGGACATAATCACATGGTTGCCCCTGCCTATCTCTGGATGCATCTTGTACCCCGTGCGCCCTAGCTCACCATGGCCAAACACTCTCCTCAGTGTCTTCCCTCTTGCTATTCCCTCCCCTGGCAGGCTCTACCCCCAGGCCTTAGTGTGGCTGGGCTTTTGACATTACTCAGGCCTGCTGCCTCCACAGAAAGGTCACACCTAATCCCGTCTAGAGCAGTGCGGGAGCACGCACACACACACACGCACACAATTACATGATCTGCTTTTATCGTCACAGCACTTTTCATGATGTGAGAACACCCTCTTCCACATTTGGTGGTTATCTTTCCCACAAAAGATAGGGCTCTGCAGCCAACTACCTCGCTTTGAATTCTAACAAAGTAAGAACTTTGTGACTCTGGGCAAATTATTTAACTTCAGCAGTAAAATGGGGACATCGTGATTACTGTGAGTTTTAATGAAATAGCTGATAGCACAGTACCTAACACAGAATGCTTAATAAAAACGAGCTGTTGTTCCTCACTGCCATATCACCAGCATGTGCATAGTGTCACTGATAAACAGACCTTCTCATCAGTCGACAATTCAACATTAGCCCTGGTAGCATCATCCCATGTACNTAGTGTCACTGATAAACAGACCTCATCAGTCGACAATTCAACATTAGCCCTGGTAGCATCATCCCATGTACTGAAAGGTTGCTGGTTTGATTCACGGTCAGGGCACATGCCTAGGTTTCCAGCTCAGTCTCCAGGAGGGGGTGTGCAGGAGGCAGCCAATTGATGTTTCTCTCTCTCCTTCTTCCTTCCTCTCTCTCTAAAAATCAAAAAAAAAAAATCTTTAAAAAAATATTTACTAATACATCAATATTAGCTGCCTACATGTCAGAGGCTCAGTCAGATTTCAAAGTAAAGATGTCTTCCTAAAGTACATTTAAAATTTTTCTTAATGGAAAGAACATAAATTATAAATCTTCTGTAGAAAACATTAATTACTCTATATTTTAAATGTTTTCATTATGGGAAAAACAGGGCTTAAATATACATAAAATACTTACCAACGCCATGCTGGTAGGATCAGGATACAGGGAACCTGGGGCTTGACACAGACCCACTAAACATTCTACTTCTTTTATTTATTTTTTATTGATTTATAGGGAGAGGAAGGGAGGGAAGGAGAGAGAGAGAGGGAGAGAGAGAAAGAGAAACATGGATGTGAACATCAATCAGTTGCCTCACACACACACCCCTACTGGGGACTGAACCCGCAACCTGGGTGTGTGCCCTGACAGACTGGAAGCCACCACCTTTTGGTGAATGGGATGATGCTCCAACCAGCTGAGCCACCGGCCAAGGCTAAACACTCTACTTCGTCTTCCTCTTTTTGTTACTCTTCACCCGAGGGTATCTTTTCCATTGATTTTTAGAGAAAGTGGAAGGGAGGGGAAGACACAGAGAAACATCAATGTGAGAGACACATCGATTGGTTGCCTCCTGTATGCGCCCCGACCAGGCTGGAGATCGAGCCTGCAATCTGTGCCCACGACCTGGAATCGAACCCAAGACCCTTCAGTCCGAGGGCCAACGCTCTAACCACTGTTCTTAACGTTCTTTATCTTGATCTATATATACACTATTTCATGTTTCCATTTGTCTAAATGACACAAAAACATCTGGTTTCTATATNCTGTTTCATGTTTCCATTTGTCTAAATGACACAAAAACATCTGGTTTCTATATGTGCAAATTGCCTTTCACAAGGTCACACTTACTGCCCAGCAGCGCACACTTGCCTCCCAGCCTGCCCTTGAGGAAGACAGTAGAGCATCACACCCACGCTCAGGGCTGTCTTGGGGTTGATCGCAATAAGCTGGAATACGGGGCTTCCCGACGGCTCCCTCTCTTTGGCACAAGGATGACTTAGAACAACAAAAAGAAGTCCCTGATTTAAAAGAAAAATTAATAACCAAAGAAATCATTAGGACTCTGGTGAGAAAAAGAAAGGGCTGGCAGAGACAAAACGAAAGACTCACAGGGATGATCAATGGGCTTGTCAGTGTGGCATTTCATTGCTGGCTCACTTTTCTCAGGCAGGCACTGGTCTGTCACTGAGCTGGACTTGGGCTCCCAAGCCAGTCTCTGAAGGCGTGAGCCTGGCTAACGCATCAGTTCCCTCCCCTTAGACATGGCTTACACCCCTGGCCACCGCTTTGCAGAAACGCTGGCCCAGGGAAAGGGCATATACACACGTGGTGGGAGTCCTCAAGCCAGAAATGCTCATTTGTCAGTTGGTTTTTGAACATTCAGGATACATTTTCCCATAAATACAGTCTTATTATAAGCAGTGACTGGAGTTCAGGCCAACCTATAATAGCTTATTCATTTGTATTTAGAGAGTAAGAGTGACAAAAAAGGACACCATGACCTATGATAGTTTCTGTGGGAAAATATGCTACAAATCTCTCCCAGCTTTAAAATTAAATGTTTGGTTTTTTTTAAATCCTCACCAAGGATGTTTCTATTGATTTTATAGAGAAAGGAAGGGGGAGAGAGAAGGAGAGAGAGAAACAGATGTGAGAGAGAAACACTGATCGGTTGCCTCGCATACACACCAACCCACAACCTTTTGGTCCACAGGATGATGCTCCAACTGAGCCACTGGCCAGGACAAAAATTACATGTTCTAATAACATCATTGTGTGTGAAGGTATCTGTCACACACATATGTATACACTACTATATGTATGTTACATGTTGAAAATAATTATCTTTGGGGGTGAAATAGGAAAAATTAATTATAGGGCCATCTTAGGATTAAGAACACTCATTTCTACTTTATACATTTCCAAAATGACTGCATTTTAAAAAAATTTTTTTAAGTTGATTTTAGAGAAAGGAAGGGAGAGAGAGAGAGAAACATTGATCAGATGCCTTCTCTACGTGCCTGGACTGGGGATCAAACTGGCTACCTGGGTATATGCCCTGACAGGGAATCGAACCTGCAACGTTTTGGTGTATAGGATGACACTCCAGCCAACTGAGCCACCTGGCCAGGGCCAAAATGACTGAATTTTTATAATGAGAACGAATTTCCTTATAATTAGAAAGCTGAGAGTTAAAAAAATGTTTAATGCCATACACTTTAACTAGGGTTAGGCAAACTATGGCCCACAGGTCAAATCTGGCTCAAGGTTTAGTTCTGTATGACCCATGAGCTAAGAATGGTTTTTGCATTTTGAAAGGGTTGGAAAAAGACAGAGAAAGACTATTTTGTGACATGTGAAAATTATATGAAATTCGAGTTTCAGAAAGTTCCATGGGAAAGTTTTATTGTCCAAAATGTTTCACTGGAACGTAGCCACGCCCACTTCTTACACACACACACACACACACTTTTTTTATTCCTCACCTGAGGATATTTTTTCCATTGCTTTTCAGAGAGTGGAAGGGGGAGAGAGGGGGAGAGAGAAACATCAATCTGAGAGAGACATATCAATTGGTTGCCTCCCACATGCGTCCTGACTGGGGCTGGGGATCAGCCTGCAACCCAGCTAAGTGCCTTTGACCAGAATCGAACTGGAGACCCTTCAGCCTGAGGGCCAAAGCTCTAAGCCCTGAGCCAAACTGGCCAAAGCACCATATCCATTTACTACGTGTCATCTCTGGATGACGTGCGACAGTAGGAGAGCAGAGATCATGTAGCCTGCACAGTTGGAAATATTTACTGTCTGTCCCTTTAGAGAAATGTCTGCCAATTCCTGCCCTCAACTATAAATCATTATTTCTGGAGGCTGGCATCATGGGAAACTCTTACTTACTATCTTTTCCATTTCTCTTCTCAGTTTTAAAATTAAATAGGTATTAATATTGTAATACTTTAGATATAAAACTATCTAAATGCCTAGTAGATAAATTTAATAATTCCAGAGATGAATTCAACCCTCNGAACTCTTACTTACTATCTTTCCATTTCTCTTCTCAGTTTTAAAATTAAATAGGTATTAATGTTGTAATACTTTAGATATAAAACTATTTAAATGCCTAGTAGATAAATTTAATAATTCCAGAGATGAATTCAACCCTCTTATCTTGGGATGAATAATAATAAGCCTTAAGGCCAGGTGACAGATACTTAAGACGGTAACACTTTTGAGTTCACGCCCACAGATGCTGCTGGTCTAGGGAGAAATGCACCCTTTGCATTCAGAACCTCTACAAAATGAGGCTCACAGGGTTGCCCCTGGGGCTGGGCAAGTCAGTCTCCACACAGCACCACACTCGCTGCTACTGCCTTTGCTTGTGGCTCAGCAGTGGACGCATAAGCAGTTACCCTTGACTCCTGGACAGCTACCTCCAACCTGTTCAGATGCCGAAACCAGGCTGTAAGCCAACTGTATTAACACAGTGGCTAAGAGGCTGTGTTCATTTCTATACAAGACCACTAAAGTCTAAGAGAAAAGCATGTCTATGATCATTCAATCACCCTTCCTCAGGATATTCATTCGCATCATAAATCATTTATGGCAATGTGGTTGGGGGCCAAGTCTGGTAATGGGATAATATTTCTCAGTATAAATTCAAAGCCAGAAATGAATGTTTGCCCTTAGGTTGTACAGCCAGAAAATTCACCAAGCAATCATACTGTACCAACACTTATTTTCATCCATAAATTTCAAGAAAGAAAAAAACACTCCTACACAATTTTGAAAAAAAATAGGCAACAGGGAGGGCCAGTTAATTATTACTTACTAAGTTATTGCTGCCACTCAGCGATACCAAGACTAACACTCAGAACAGACACAGAGTGGTCACAGCTGATCAGTACTCACCATTTCAGAATAGGCTTTGTGACAGACAGAAGCCTGGTAGGAATCACCAACATGCAACTTTTTCAGGAGCTGACCAGTTTTTAAATTCCTTAGACAACAAAAATAGATAAGTTGATAACACTCTTCCAGCAAACTGGTTTTCACATAGTCTCTTATTTATCACAGCACCGTTTAGGAGGGGACCAAGGAAAAAACTAAGGGACACAGTGCCTTTGTTTTGTTTAGCCACAGACTGAGCTAAAAATAGAAATAGAGTTTAATTTGGCCAATGTTTTTTTGTTTGTTTGTTTGTTGTAACCCTCACCACAAGATATTTCTTCCATTGATTTTTAGAGTGGAAGAGGA